AAAAAAAACCAGGAATAGAGGAGAATATGTGTAGCTCAGGATTCGAATGAGGGGTTCTTGGTGTTCTCTCAACTTGGTTGTTTTCTTGCAGATGTTTCATTACCCAAATTTGGTAACATCAGCAGCAGTGAAGGGATTCCAAATTTTTTACTACTGGTCCTCTGGGTGTGGCCTGGTGGGCATGGCTTGGCTTGGTGGGCATGGCTTGGTGGGTGTAGCAGGGAAACGATACTGTAAAAATCCCTATTCCCTCCCCACTCCAGGGGGAAGATTACTGCAAAATCCCCATTCCCTCCCCACCCCACTAACCTGCTTTCCAGCTCCGTTCTCCTGTGCAGGGCAACCAAAGAAGACCCAGCCAATCAGCTGGGACTCGGGAGGCAGAGAATAGATAAGGGCGGGGCCAGTCAGAGGTGGGATTGGCCGGTTCTCCAAACTACTCAAAATTTCTGCTACCGGTTCTCCAGAACTGGTCAGAACCTGCTGAATGCCACCTCTGATCCTCAGTGCTAGAAAGGAGGGAGGAGGAGGAGGAGGAGAATGACTATGGGGTCTTTGGTGCTCTTTGAGCTTCATTGTCTTGCAGATATTCCATTACCCAAATTTGGGTAACACCATCAGTGCTAGAGGAGGTGGAGGAGGTGGTGGTGGTGGAGGAGGATTGTGGGTTCTTTGGTGATCTTTGAACCTTGGTTATCTTCTTGCAGGCGTTTCATTACCCATCTAGAAAGCATCTTCAGCTAAAATGAAGAGGGTTTTACTCACTTTTTATACAGTAGCAGCTTTCCCTGTTCAGTAATTTTTCTTACCAAACTACATCAACTGTGGAAGATTTTTGGAAGTCTTCTGGCTTCTTCTCCATTCCTCCCGTTGATAGGAAGACCTTCGCTGATAGTAAACTGCTCTTAATGAGGATTCTTCCATGGAGATCTTCCCTTGATAGGAGTCTTCTAGCTGAGTAGCAACACACCAGCCTACCCTTACAAGCATAAAAAATTGACTGCAGAAAAAGACCTATAAAGGAGAATATTTGTAGCTCAAGGTTGAAATGAAGGTTCCTTGAGGCTCTCTGAGCTTGTTGTCTTCTTGCAGATGTTTCATTGCCCAAATTTGGTAACATCATCTATGCTAGAAAGGAGGGGGGAGGAGGGGGGAGGAGGAGGGGGAGGAGGAGAGGATTGTGGGGTCCTTGGTGCTCTCTGAGCTTGTTGTCTTCTTGCAGATGTTTCATTGCCCAAATTTGGTAACATCATCAGTACTTGAATGGTGGAACTAATGTTGTTAAATCCAGCTCAACAATTTAATGTTTCACTTAATGGCCATATCCCTAGTGATGGAATTAGGGTCAGATCAAAAACAATGGTCTTTGACAGAAATTGACTCAATTTCCTCCCCTGATAAGGATATCCAGGAAAAGGTAGCAGCCTTCTCTTCTTGTGAATGTTATCCTTATAAAGATATTTTACAGCCTCATACCATGGTCCCTGTGGCAATAGGTTAGCAGCACTGAAGACAGGCTGTATGTCATCCCAGTTG